CAAACCCTCAACCTGCAGCTCAGCGCCGGTGGAGGTCATGTGACTCCAGGTGACTCGGCTGCATGTAAAGTTCAGGGAAATGAGCTGCAGCACATTTACATGGAGAGAGAGAGGGAGCAGACGGTGATGTCACTTCCTCTGTCTTCAGAAGGTTCTGGAGGTTCTCCTGCTTCCGGGTAATCCTGGTTCTGCTTCTGATCCGGTTTGCAGCGGTGATCAGATCAAACTGTTTCTGGTTCTGATGGTTCCAGGATCTCCCAGTATTCCCAGTTTCTGTGCTGTTGTCCTCAGATCTGGACCCTAACTGGGTCAGAACCCAGGCTGTGTTCTGGCTTGGTTTTCTAACAAACATGCCTTCATTGTGGTATTTCTATAGTTCTGATTCTGAAGTCGGGAGTTCAGTCCAAGAACCTTCCTCTGAGAGACCAGAACCATGACGGGTCTGGATCAAAACCAGGTGGATGGTTTCTAATCAAAGAGTTCTGGGTATGTTTCTGGATCCCGGATCCAAACATGTTGGTGGGATTCAGAGAAGGTTGATGACCCGGAACCAAAGCTGATCCTGCAGATTCAAACCGGGTCAGAGCCTAGAACTCTACCTGTCCTCCATCAGCAGCTCACAGAGAAAAAAAAAACCCCACCTGAATCCTTTTGGCCCGTTTCAGTTTTTCACAGACCCAGAACCGGTTCTGAACGGAGGACTGGACCTTAAACGCCTGCGTTCTAGTTCTCAGTGGGTTCTGTTGATGGAGGATCCGAGCTTCAGTTGGAGCTGATGAACCGAGTGTGCATCAAAAGTTCTGGTTCTGTACTGCTTCCTCCTCTGAGCTCCCATCTTCCTCCATCATCTTCATCACATCTTTTCATAGCCGATTAGCCGCTAATGAGGACTTTGATCTGCTGCAGGAACTCATCAAGCCTCAGCTGGAAACCAAGATTGTTCTGATAGACGGAGCTCCGGCTCTTTATCAGCCGACCCGGATCAGGACACGCTGCTTCATGATCATCCTGAGGGTCTGATCCGGCTGCTGGAACGCCTGTGTTCCGCAGTCTGAAAGATGCTGGTTCTGACCCGTTGGACATCAGGCTGGTTTAGGATGCCAGCGCTGACCCACTGATCCATGAAACAATTCATGTTTAGACTGGATCAGAACCGTCTGTGAAAAGATGAGCAGTTTGAGATAAGGGGTGTGGAAAAAAATCCTTTTGGCAATATATCGTGATTTTTGGCTGCCTGATAATGTCGATCTTTAAGTTCTTAGTATCTATTTTTTTTAAAGCAAAACATTTTTACCTAATACTGGGGGAAAATTGGCTACCTGTGCACCACCACTCTGGCAGATGGCGCTGTGGAGCCATTTTGCTGTGCGGTGCAGCGCTATACCTGAAGTTGAGGCGGTCGCAGTGGAAGACTTGACTGACTTAAACCCCAACCAACATGGATACCCAAATATCTGAACAGTCAATATCATCTGATGAACACATACAGACGTTTCTTTTTTATCAATACATTTAGTTTTAATAGCAGGAGAAATATTGAAATATATGGTGATATTCAGTACTCTGTAGGGACAGTGATAGCCATGCTAACT